AACAAATTGTTTTCTAAGACATATCCTTTTGAGAGTTTTTGTAGAGATTGGAACCAATAACAACATAAAAAGCCCCAAACTAAACAAATCATAACATCGGAGATTAGAACTAAAGGTATATTCATCATTTTAGATTTTCAAGAAAAACAATGAAAAAAGTTTTAAAACTAGTTAATATGTTGTGACTTGATTTTCAACTGTTCTTGTTAAAAAAAATATTTGTAGTCCAAGTTATTCATCTCAAATGACTTATTCTTGTAAATTTAGATTTATCACGAGATCAAATTTTATCATGTTATTATAAACTGCATTCATACGACACAAACAAACAAATAAAAAAACTAGCAAAAAAGCTCTATGAGAAAATTAAAACAATAAAACAATAAAAACTTAAAACAATTGAGGTTCTTCAAGTTTATTTTATTATTATAACATTGTATTTATATGTACCTTTGAAAATACAAGCATTTGGGATAGACTTCTTGAGTACTGCTGAAAAAGTGTCCAGGTTGTCTCTACTTTCAAGTATGGGCTGGTACTGCAACTTGGACTGGCAAACTAAAGGTCTTTTGCTATCTAAAAAAAACCCGAAAGAATTAATGACTTATCGCCCTTTGATCAATGGACATGAATATAGACTACTCTTGTGATCATATTCTGTTGTTGTTTCACATACTGGAATAATGTATAAAAAGAATATCTAGTGTATCAAAACACAAACTCATGACATGTATTTCCTACTTGTTGACGTTATCATTAATGTGATAGACTTATTAATTTACATGTTAATTTCTGTGTCATTTGGTCTCTTGTGGAGAGTTGTCTGATTGACAATCTTACCACATCTTATTTTTATAATATATCTCATTATTTGCTTTGTTAATTCGAGTCTAGTTTTGCATGGTAAAATCCATGAAAAGGATTGGTACAGCAGTATGGAAATAAAAACATGTATAGTGTGGCTAATATAATATCAAAAATTATAAATGGTATGTCAGTGGCGGATCCAAGGGGGGGGGGGGGGGGGGGGGGGGGGGGGGTTCCGGGGGTTGGAACCCCCCTTTTTTTGAACGACCAACGCATTTGAATGGGGACATATAGTTGGAACCCCCCCTTTATCCTTGGTTAGGTACCCCCCCTTTTATTAATGGCTGGATCCGCCCCTGTATGTAATGACTTTTTGATACTAAATTCTACCTAAAATCATCTAAAATGTACACAACCTTTGAAATAATTGATCAGATGTACATGAATAGTAGTTATAACAAAAATTGTAGCCAAATTATAAAGAATTTTTCTCATGCTTGGTAATAAAAAAACATACCTGATTGTCCATGTCTTGACTTGAAGATTCTCAAATCTTTAATTTTAGTTGGCTTCACTCCCTTTATTCTTGACGGTACTTTCCATGTGCAGGGGAGGGAAGAACATGCAGATGCACCTAGTTTGTTTGCAGCCTCAACTCGGAAAAGGAGTCCAGCCACATGATTACATGTTCTTCCCAAACTGAAAAAAAACAACTAATAAATGATCTTGTTCAATACCCAGTAAATCTACAGCAAATGATGCAAGTCGATCAGCAAGAAAACTTATATTGACAAAACAGTTATTAGTTTTAAATTAATAAAGAACTACAAGATAAAGGTGCAAACATAGTAAATAAACATGTCATACAACAGTTAGTTTTATACCATGTAGGTTTTTACAGCCGTGACAATGGATATGATTTGGAAGGAACATTTTACAAGAAAGATAAAAAATGATATACCATTTCATGGACATGTGAATTTGAAGTTTTCTAATTAAACATTTCCCATAACAAACATGACAAAGGTTGGGGACAATCTCCCAAATGGGATATAAATTTACTGTGATTCAAATCTTGCTTTTCTTTAAAAAAAATTAATTTAACAATATTTTTTCTAAAACATTTCCCCTATTTTGTTTTGGCACATTAATTTTTCATACATTTATATTTCAATTGAGGTATTATATCTCGAATGGGATAGTTTAACCCATTTAGGAGATTGGTCCCAACCTTTTACAGCTTATTAATTGCTATTACATTAAAATGGAAGGCTTTACAGTACATTGCAAATCTATGAGGTTATGGCTGGGGATCTTTCATTTCTGTATTCTTAATTTTACATTTGTCTTCATCTTTAAATCAAAGCGCGAAAGCGCTGTAAAGGCAGTTAATTACAGGTTGTGTGTATTTTTAGTCCAGTTATATCATTATCTTGCATAGTACAGTGTACTTATCAGAGGTGGCTTTCAGTATTTGAGATTTAGAGTTCTCTAATGATATTGAACAAGTTTTATGAATGTCATATTCTGAGCACTATATGAAGGCGATTGTTCTCACTTGTTTATGAACTAGTGCATTATGTCCAGTTTGTACCTTTTTTTATCTATGTTTATAGTCAAATACTGTTTAAAATAGTTAGGCATTTTCTTTTTAGTAATAAGTAAATGTTATCAACTGTATTTTATTCAACTTTGCATATGTGGTTTGTTACTGGTAAGTATGGATGATAGTTGTTTCATTGGCAATCATAACGCATCTCCTTATTTATATAATGATCTATATTCAACGACCTCAGGAACAAAAAAAATGTATGTAACTAAACTATGATGGGAAACCTTTGACTTCTATCTTATATATAAACTTTTGATTTGGTACCATAGAACTATGTAGAATAAATGTACATTGCAACATGTCAACTCTTTCAATGACAATACTTTTTTTAGAAACTATAAAGTAATTTATGAATGAAAAAAGGAGTTCTTAATTAAGAAATAAACTGATTCGCTGAGCGCAGCTGGATACACCCGCAGAGGTCCAACCCTGAACAGTTGGGGCAAAAATGGACACAATATTGAAGCTTGATACAGGTCTGAATTTGGATTGTAATTAAATATTTGACATATTATAGTTTCTGATTAAATGTAGTCAAAGAACTTGAAATCGGTTATATGAATTGAATTTATATTCAATTAAAGATTTCTTGCTGTTGTGCAATACACTGTGCTGTTGCGCAATACTTGATAAATCTGTTGCCAGACTTTAAACAAATAGTGTTCAATTTCTTCTCAATGTCATATTTGAAATTTATGAAAATCAACAGGGAGCTTACATCAATAGTAATAAATAATTCACCAAAGTTTCATGCGAACTGCTTAAAGCATTTTTGAGTTGTTGTCCAAAAACTGGAAAATCCCCCCTTTTTTTAATGAATAAAACCCCATAACTCAGAAATGTAAAATATAAAATTTATAAAATTCTAAAGGGAGCTTACGGATTGATAATTTAGTCTTAGATGCAAGATTTTTTTATCAGTTGTTAGAGGCTTTGAACTAGCTGTCAGTAACTGCGAGTACTCTCAGATCTGTACTTAGTGTCTTTTTGTTGTTTGGATGTACAACTACCCGGCCACGTCCACTTGTATTTGTATTTATCCATCTGATGAGTTAAGCCTCTTTCAACTGATTTTTATAGTTCGTTCTTATATTGTACTGTTACACCACTGTCCCAGGTTAAGGGGAGGGTTGGGATCCCGCTAACATGTTTAACCCCGCCACATTCTGTATGTACATGTATGTGCCTGTCCCAAGTCATGTATATAAGGAGCCTGTAATTCAGTGGTTGTCGTTTGTTTATGTGTTGCATATTTGTTATTCGTTCATTTTTTGTACATAAATTAGGCTGTTAGTTTTCTTGTTTGAATTGTTTTACGTTGTCATTTCGGGGCCTTTTATAGCTGACTGTGCGGTATGGGCTTTGCTCATTGTTGAAGGCCGTACTGTGATCTATAGCTGTTAATTTCTGTGCCATTTGGTCTCTTGTGGAGAGTTGTCTCATCGGCAATCATACCACATCTTCTTTTTTATATTTACATCAACAGATATAAACAATTCACCAAAGTCAAGGTGAGACAACAAAACTTAGTTGTAAGATCTCTGAAATTTTTTACACGGTACGAGTTTTTCTCATTGTTGGAGATTCTACGGTGACAGTATCACCTGTAACTGTTTAAATCCATTTCTTATGCACTTTGGTTTGATAAACTCACTGAATATCATACCACATCTTCTTTTTTTTATATGCATTACAATTTATATGTGCATGTAATTGTAAATATATATATATCAGAACAAAATTCATTGCGTCACTTTTATTTATGCATCCTTTGGCACAATACAAGTTCTAAAATTACACAACATAAAACAACTAAATGTTATTTCAGATGAAAGTTTTGTTTCAGTTCCATTCATAGGATTTATTAGAATTTTGTAGTCCAATAATTCGCTCTATGTGCACGTGTTAATTGGAGACTTTTCTATCCCGTATAAGAGTTTTGGAACTAATTCTGTTTCTTTTTTTTTTTAAAGTTAGCAAACAAATTTTGCACATTTAAACCTTTGTCTGCCATCACACTGTCACCTGGATCACATAATTGAACTATTCTACATCTTTCAACTATTTCACAGTCACTGGTACAACCAACATATGCATTAGAGACATAGTTGACTAAACCACCAGGTGTCGAACATACAAGTATTTTCAGTGTTTCTGATTTTATATGATGAAAAGGTTGCCTGAGCTCTAGGAGCTTTAGGTTTTATCACGGGATATTCTTTGCTGTCAATAATAATCCAAGTTGTAGGAAACTTTAATTTGAAGTTGGATGGCGAAAAATACCTGACTAAACCACTAGATGGCCAAGTGTTAGCCTCACGCCACTGTTTAGACATAAAACAATCCATATATACACAATATTCTTAACACTAGATTCAATCTAGAATCTAGACAGTTCCAAGTTGGTTGTATAATGCCTCAATTTCATCAAAGTCATAAAAAAACTGATTTTCAACTGACACCCTATCAATTTGAAAATATATGTATCTCAAACAATGAGCTGCTGGACCAAGTGTGGTCAAAACAAATAAAAATTTAGTATACAACTCTAAATCGGTATAAAAATGCATGGCTGTGTCACGTGTCGTCATTTCAAAGTTCCTTGCTGAAAATATAGGCATTGATGGTGTTTGTGTAATTCCATCTGTGAAGCTCAACATTAGCTTGGCAGTTGGTGGTGGACAGTCATAAATCCTTTCTGCAGTATGAATGACTTCTCCAGGAAAACCAACTTTACAATCAAAACTTTCCTCTAGACTTCTACTACAATATTCATCAAGTTTAGTTCTTTTGTTTTCACAGGAAACTGCCCTGATTTTTCTTTTTGCGGACGATTCAGTCTCTTGCTTGGTCCAGGAAAATAGGCTGGGAATGGCAGTAGACTTAAGTCTCTGTATGGTGGGTTTGCGCCCTGAAAAAGGTTATAAAACATTAGTTTTTTGATAATTAAATGAACTTCCATTAGCAATGTATACTTTGTACTACCTGGCAAAATATTAACTATATTTATTCATTACAATCTGGATAAAACTATATTTGCCTGATTCAATGTATGTTATGTAAATCCAAAGGACAAACAATGAGAGACTTATGCAACAAACGTACATTGTTTGTACCTAAATAACTATAATATAGATGAGAGCATGTCATTGTTTTGTTCCTGTTAACATTTGTCATTGATATTTTTCAAGAAAGTCTATGAGGCATAGCTTATGCATTCCTGTCATTACATGTACTACATTAGCATAATAACTGCTAAAATAATTCTCAGTATGATATACCTCTTGTAAGAAATCATTATAATTGTAGCAATCACCAAAAAATCTCAAACAGATCACATTGAATCGTAATCCAAAAAATTATGACGTCTTGAATTAACCAACCCCTTTTATTCTAAATTACTAAAACGATAATTGCAGTTGTAAACAGACGTTGGTTTAGTCGCATGGCGATTACATATATAACTATATATTTCAAAAAGAAAATAGATTTTTACCATGAATAGTTTCCTGCACGTAGTCTTTTTCAGTAAAATGTGCCTTGCAAACTACAGCTGATTGAGATGGACTCCACGATTTCATCGTGTTCTCGTCCAATCTGCGTATGGGCCATGGCGTTGATCCAACTTTTCCTTCTTTTTAAGTCATTTGGAAATGCATGTCCTCCTCTTAAATGACATTCAGGTACACAACAACAAGTACTTGGCATCGTTAATTAAAAATGTAACTGAAATAGGAATGGAACCAATAAATTGATCGTATCCGATATGAAGTTCACAGTATTGCAGTAACGGAGAACCTCTAACTTTGAGGTAATATTATTAATGTCGGTGGTCTCACAAATGAATCAGGGTGAATTGCAGGTACATTAATTAGCAGAGAATAGACAATTATCAACTTGTTATTCATTATCTCGCAGTTATTTACGGTTAATAAGCTGTATATATCCCAAAACAGGTTCTCGGAGCTAGTACTAGTCTATGACTTTTAAGTAACAATTATATTTATATTCACAATCAGTGGCGGATCGAAGGGGGATGGGATCCGGGGGTTTGACTCCCCTTTTTGTGAACGATCATTGCATTTCATGGAGACATACATTTGGACCCCCTTTATCCTGGCTAGAATCGCCCCTGATATTACATGTAAATCAAGTCCCGGGTTACTGTTAGCATAATAGCATAACGGTAATCACAAAGAGTGTGGTAATTTTAAAAAGGACGAGAATTAAATTTTATAAATATACAATTCTTGAAGAGGGGGATAGTGCACTTAGCAGAAGAAACCAAATGGATGAATGAAATAAGGGAAAAATAATCAAACTTATTAAAATCAAACTTATTAAAATCAAACTTATTAAAATCAAACTAAAAAAAATATCAGTTGATTCTTCTCAGTTTGCATTTTTTTCCTGAAAACATTATATTTCAAAATTAGAAAATATTATAACTGACCTGATGTGTTCACATGCGTATATGGGTGTGCACACGACTCTTTAATTAAAATATGCAACGTCATAATTGTTGAACTCCAAGGTCAAAACATATAATTCTATTAAAGAAAACACATTTTTTACCCCAAAAGATATTATTTCTAACAATGTTTTAATTGTAAAAAATACAAGTAGATAAACTCGATTTGTTTCCAATATTAATTACAAAAATCGATTCAGAAATAAAAAAGTTAGGAAAAAAAATAATGACAAACCTTTCTGATGTTGACTCGTTGGCGTCCAGGAAGCAAAAGGCTGATCTATGGAAAATATTTTAGTTATATACCCCACTGGCAATGGGTTTGAACAAGTGGGTGACCCCAGTGCATATTTTATCTTTTTTTCCGTGTTACGGATGAAATCTTCGGCCTTTAAGAATGCTTACCCCAGAAATTCTTAACCCTCACGTTGTAGTACTATCTAATAGCTATTCCTTAGGGTAGCGTCTATAATGCCTATCAATAAAGAACTACCGAGACAGTGGGTTGGAAAGTGGGTGCCCCCAATGCGTATTTTATCGAATTTGGCTTTATTTCCATGTTTCGGACGAAAATTTACCCCAGAAATTCTTTGCCCTCTCGTTGTAGTACTATCCAATAGCTATTTATTAGAGCAGAGCCTATAATCGCTAGCCATACAGAACTGCCGGGGCAATGGGTTTGAACAAGTGGGTGACCCCAGTGCATATTTTATCAAATACGACTTGTTTTCCGTGTTACGGACGAAATTTTCGGCCTTTTAGAATGCTTACCCCAAAAATTTGTTACCCTCACGTTGTAGTACTATCCAATAGCTATTCCTTAGGGTAGCGGCTATAATGCCTAGCCATAATGAACAACTGAGACAGTGGGTTGGAAAGTGGGTGCCCGAAATGCGTATTTTATCGAATTTGGCTTAATTTCAATGTTTAGGACGCAATTTTCGTCCTCTAGTAATGCTTACCCCGGAATTATTTGCCCCCTCGTTGTATTACTACCCAATAGCTATTTATTAGAGCAGAGTCTATAATCTCTAGCCATACAGAACTGCCGGGGCAATGGATTTGAACCAGAGGGTGACCCCAGTACATATTTTATCAAATATGACTTTTTTTCCGTGTTACGGACGAAATTTTCGACCTTTAAGAATACTTACCCCAGAAATTCTTTACCCTCACGTTGTAGTAGTACCCAATAGCTATTTATTAGAGCAGAGTCTATAATCTCTAGCCATACAGAACTGCCGGGGACATGGGTTTGAACAAGTGGGTGACCCCAGTACATATTTTATCAAATATGACTTTTTTTCCGTGTTACTGACGAAATTTTCGGCCTTTAAGAATGCTTACCCCAGAAATTCTTTACCCTCACGTTGTAGTACTATCAAATAGCTTTTCCTTAGGGTAGCGTCTATAATGCCTTGCCATAAAGAACTACCAAGACAGTGGGTTGGAAAGTGTGTGCCCCAAATGCGTATTTTATCGAATTTGGCTTGATTTCCATGTTTCGGACGCAATTTTCGTCCTCTAGTAATGCTTACCCCAGAAATTCTTTGCCCATCGTTGTAGTACTACCCAATAGCTATTTATTAAAGCAGCGTCAATCATCAAGACACTATTTATCTCAAAATTGAACCATCTGTTTTTAACATTACAAGCATCATGCAAAAATACTTTAAAACAACTAACTGACAAAATTTATTCATTTATTTGGGAAAACAAACATGACAAGATAAAAAGAGAAATATTATGTTCTGAACACAAATTAGGAGGGCTGAAAATGATAGATATTGACAAATATATAAAAGGATTGAAACTAACATGGTTAGACGGTTTTTGAAAAACAACCCAAGACTAAAGAAGCTACTAGAAAATACTGAAAAAATCAGTATTGAAAACCTAGTTTATTTAGGCCCAACAAAAAGATGTAAAAACCCTTTTGGGGAAGAGGTCTTTAAAGCTTGGACAGATTTACAAAATAAATTTATACCAAAAATTGAAGACGAGTTTGTATCAGATTCGCTCTGGAATAATGAAAATATTACAATAGGAACAGCATCTATTTTCTATAAAGACTGGGCATATAAAGGGATCTTTTTGATAAATGATCTTTTAAACGATGAGTGAAAACTAATGACTTTTCAACAATTCCAAAACATTTATAAAATCAAGTCAAACTTTCTTACTTATAATGGGGTAATTTCATCAATAAAATCATATAAAAAAGCTCTCAAGAAAGATATATCCATAAACAATCTTAATAAAACACAAGGACCAATTATTCCAAATAATATAAGAATATTTCTTTTATCAAAAAATGGCTCGAAAGAAATGTATAATGTTAGAAAAAAACAGTACTAAACTTAACTGTGAAGACAAATGGTCCTTAACACTGAACAAAACTTTTGATTGGAAAACTGTGCATAGTATGTCTTTTTACTCCACAAAAAGCTCAAAACTTCAATGGTTCCAGTATAGAATAATACACAGAATCTTGGGCACAAGTGAATTTTTATTTAAAATTAAATTAAAACAAAGCGATAAATGTACTTTCTGCAATGAATTTACCGAAGATATTGAACACATATTTTGGCCATGCCATAAAATAGCAGATCTGTGGATAAGTCTCGGTGACTGGATTTATAACCAAACACTAATAATTATTCCGTTTAACATGGATATAATTTTATTCGGAAATTTATGAAAAACAGAAAATAATAAAATAAAAAAATTTAATAATACTATTATCAAAATTCTTTATTTATAGAACAAAACTGTGTGAAAATCAAGTCAGTTTTGCAGGGCTGAAAAATTATCTAAAAGAAAATCTAATACTAGAAAAGAATATATTTTTTAAAACAAAGCCTCTTCATATTGCCAACCTCGACTGGGACCTCTGGCTTCCATTACTAAAATAATTTACACTTAACAAATTAGCATTACCCTATGTAATGTTACTGTGTATATTGTTTTAGCCTTCTCCACACCACCATATATGTTTTTTTAATATATTGTTATATGTTTGTTTATTGTTTTTTGTTCTTGTTTTGTGCCTAAAACCACATGTACGTTTTTTAATAACTGTTTTGTGTATGTATGATTTTTTTAAAATGGAAAACCAACTTTGCCAAATTTATTTAATGTTGTATCTTAAGACACACGCTAGTTTTGATCAAAATATATTCTGCTGCCAAAAATCCAAATTTCAGTGAATTTTTTTTTCTAGTTTTATTTTTTTTATTTTTGTTTTTATTTTGTTTTTGTTTTTACTTATTTATTATTTTCTCTTCTCTCTTTTCTTTCTTTGTAAAATAAAATTCTCTCTTTATTGAACAATATGGAAATAACGGATACATAATAATATAGTGTATATATTTTATAATTTAGAATACTTACAATTACTAACTATTTTCTATCTAAATATACAATCTAATCTTACCGGTACTTTCTGTATCCAACTAACAAATGTGAAAGTTTTCAATGAAGTATGTAAAATTAAAAAAAAAAAAAAAAGAAAAATTAGAATTTTGTTAATGGGATATAAAAATCTTTAATTTTCTATATAAATCTTTTTTTTAGAACACAAAAAATAAAAAAATATAATTTTAAAGAAAAATAAAATTGTCGCTCAAGTAGTTTTCCAAACGCAATTGCAGGATGACGAATTGCAGGATAGATTTTTATAACGAAAATTGCAGGATGAGAATTGCTGGATAGCTTGACACTAGTTAAAAACAGTTATGTGGACGTATCTTTCTATTTTTAAAAACCTCGCCGGGTCGGCGGTAAACGAAGCTTCGCTAAAAAACAATGACTTGTTATTCCATTTTCTTCTTTTTTGTTTGTTATAAATAAGAAAATAATAAATTATAGAATTTACTCTATTCATAGCAATTGTACAAGTTCTCGGTACAGTTATTTCGTCACAGAATCTATCGTACCTCGGAAATGGCGGCGTTGAATCAGGATTTGCTTGTTAGCAAAAGTTAAAGTTTCGAGGTGGCCACAGGCCTCGACCACGCTAAATATTGATGCAAACTGAGTCAAAGTGTCAAACAATCAAAATAAGAGTAAAATTACTTTGGTCGAGGTCTGTGGCCAATGCGAAATTTAACCAGGAAGTGTGAAATTCTTTGAGAATTTTGACATTTTGAGCGTTCCGGTTTGAGTCCGGGTATTACGTCACATTAATGACGTCACATTAATGACGTCACAAAAATATTAATTTTTACTATAATAACAAAAAAACGATATACGTAGA